TTCCAAACAGTAGTTTTCAAATTATCCTCTGGACAAGGAAAAGTAACAAAGGGCAATAACTCTGTAATTAATCAAGATGGAGTTATGGTTCTTGTGCACTGCACTTCCTCTCAATGTGCTTGACCATTGTATGAAGTTATATTGAATTCCAACCATTAGTCTTCAAGTTATGGTCGGGACAAAAGAAAGGAATGGAAAAGTAACAAAGGGCAATAACTCTGTAATTAGTCAAGATGGAGTTACAGTTCTTGTGCACTTCACTTCCCCTTATTGTGTTTGACAACTGTGTGAGGTTGTTTTGAATTCCATCCAGTAGTTTTCAAGTTATTCCCCGGACAAGGAAAAGTAACAAAGGGCAATAACTCTGTAATTAGTCAAGCTAGAGTTAAGGTTCTTGTGCACTGCACTTTCTCTCAATGTGCTTGATCATAGTATGTAGTTATATTGAATTCCAACTATTAGTCTTCAAGTTATGGTCCGGACAAAAGAAAGGAATGGAAAAGTAACAAAGGGCAATAACTCTGTAATTACTTTAGATAGAGTTATGGTTCTTGTGCACTGCACTTCCCCTTATTGTGTTTGACAATTGTATGAAGTTGTTTTGAATTCCAACCAGTAGTTTTCAAGTTATGCCCCGGACAAGGAAAAGTAACAAAGGGCAATAACTCTGTAATTAGTCAAGATAGAGTTATGGTTCTTGTGCCCTGCACTTCCTCTCAATGTGCTTGACCATTGTGTGTAGTTATATTGAATTCCAACCATTAGTCTTCAAGTTATGGTCCGGACAAAAGAAAAAAATTGAAAAGTAACAAAGGGCAATAACTCTGTAATTACTTTAGATAGAGTTATGGTCCTTGTGCACTGCACTTCCCCTTATTGTGTTTGACAATTGTATGAAGTTGTTTTGAATTCCAACCAGTAGTTTTCAAGTTATGCCCCAGACAAGAAAAAGTAACAAAGGGCAATAACTCTGTAATTAGTCAAGATAGAGTTATGGTTCTTGTGCACTGCACTTCCTCTCAATGTGCTTGACCATTGTGTGTAGTTATATTAAATTCCAACCATTAGTCTTCAAGTTATGCTCCGGACAAGGAAAATGCAACGGACGTCTGGACGGACCGACCGCCCGACCAACCGACCGACCGACCACCGGGTGACTCCTATATACCCCCCCAAACTTCGTTTTTGGGGGTATAATTACTGTTGGTTACAGTTGAGTGCCCTGATGCTATATTCATCAATTATTTCTTGACAGTAAGAGAGAAGATTTTGTCAATATCAAATATATTACAACTATATATTATTACTTTACAACAAGACTTACTATAACTGTTGCTTTATCATATAAATTATGCCATTAACATATCATAATATATCCATGTTGTTAAATTATTTAGAGAGAAATTTAATGGTAACATTCAATGGGAAAACAAAAAAATTTATTAAAATTTTAGATGCAGAATGACAGTAAATGCTCTTTTTTTTTAATGGTAAAAAAAACCAAACCTCAAATAAAACAATAAATCTTTCATCACAACAAATTTTCCATAAAACACATGTTTCTCATGTCAAAAAAATGAACAAATCATCACAAAAACACAACACACACAAAATAAAAAAAAAAAAATAGCCATTACCTTACAACAAAAGTTCCATCTTGTACAGCTATTATTATAAATAACACATGTTAAAATCAATCCACTGGAATATTTTAACATTAGCCTGGTTATTATAACATTATGATAATATCTACACAACACTAACAACATCTTAACATCAAGACATCAAAAGACAAAACAGAGATGTATTACACGCGTTGCATATCCGAAACAAGTACAAAACTTGCACATAAACAATAACTCCCATTTACAAACAAAGATTACATTACAGTAATTATAACATAGGAGGAAAAATGTATTAACTTTCACTCTATTGTCATGGTTAAAAGGTCATAGCGTTCAAAGTCCTTTAAAATTGTAAAACATTCCTGTACATCTTAATCATTGCCTTCTGTCTTAACAAATTAAATACAAAGACAAAAAACTTTTATAACCACTTATTAAGCATTAGCCCGCTAAATATCATAAATGCACTAGTCCATCTTTCAATCTGGACACCCTTAGCTTGCTACATATCTTGAATGAACTTGTCTTTCTTTCAATCTGGGCACCTTTAGACCACTAAATATTTTGTATGCACTTGTCAATCTTTCAATCTGGACAAAAACATATATCCTTTTAAAGGAAAATTTCACACACAAATGAAATAGTGAACAGTGCACAGACTATGATCAGACTGTACAGATTTGCCAGCTAGCTGATCTTGGTCTGCACTGGTACAGCATTGGTATACATCAGTTGTTGTCTGCAGGCAAAAAGTTGGTGTTTTTTTTATAAATTTTGTAAAAAAAAACCCAAAAAAACAACAACTTGTCTTGATTGTCACTTATAATGAACTAGTGCCACTCATATCTTTTTAGCCAGACCAGTCGATTGCTGAATAAAGATTGATCAATGATTGATTGTTTGATTGATTTATTTATTGACTGACTGACTGACTGAATGAGTGATTCTATTTTGAAAATTTTCTGTTAAATTATTGCATTTTTATATTGAATCACTATAATGTGACCACAGACAATTCTAAATTAAATAACAACATAATAAAGTCATCTAAATAAGACTGTATTAATTAGGGAGTATCAATGTTAAATGTCTTTGTAACTATCTACAGAATAATAAAATATTTTCTGTCTTCAGAAGCACTGGATTGTACATACATGTACAATGAATTCCACACTCTCTATATTAATTATTAACTTTATTTTACACTGATAGGCCTCTTCAAACAATCATAAAATTGTATTTATTAAATTTTTTTTTTTTGGGGGGGGGGGGGGGGGGGGGGGGGGGGGGGGGGGGGGGGTCTATTTAGAAGAGTCATGGTGTAAAAACACATCTGGTGCCTCTCTGTGGAGAGAAGTTCAGGTATCATGGGCAACTTAGTAGATATAACCGTCTACACTCTGTAGATTTCATAGTAAATATTTGCTATTTTGGGTAATGGTGACCTTGACCCTTGACCTCTGTGTAAGTTGAAGGCTGAAGATTGAAGGACTTATGTTATAAAGCCATGGTTCATAAACTTCATATATGGGAGGACACAGTGACCTTGACTTTTGACCCTTTGACCTTAAAGAGGTTAAGGTGGGCAGAATTTATGGTGCATGGATGGTATACACATGTAAAGTTACAACCCTTTGGATGAAAGTATTTAACAATTATAAAAGATATCACTATAACAAGAGCACCACAACAGTGCTAACACTTAGCTGTTAAAAATTCTAAGCTAAAAAGGGGCAAAACTCCAAAAATGTTGCTTTCAGAATAATGCCCCTTGTCTAACAACTGCAACTTGTCATGATACGCAAGTATTCAAAGTTTCATGCTCATGTTAAATAGGCTACACATGACAACAATGGTGCAGTGGTCATAATAACTAAATTTTTCCTTTGAAACAGACGAGCTAAAAATCATGTAGGTTCACACCAATATTAAGATCAATTATGGTAACATCAAAATGATTCATATTTTTATAGCATTTATATCTAACTGAACTAATGGACAACAAAGATAGTGTCAGTATAAAACAGTAGTATCTAATCTTTCAACTTGTATGTCATATCTACAACTATTACCATAATTATTACATTATCACCTAAGTCTTTGTTTTCTTATCAATTAACTTTATCAACAAATATAATGATTTTTCTTTTAAAGATGAAAAAGAGCTGTGTGAGCAAGCTGCACACCGGACAAAGACATTTCTTGATATTTGAAAATAGACATAATAAGGTTAAATACATGTATTTTACTATTTACTGTCTAAGGCATTAAGAGTTAAAATGGACGGGGGCTCTTTTTCCGAGTTTCTTTAAGATAAATGTAAATGTAAAAGAAGTTGTTATCTTAATGAGGCAAGATAAGGACAATGTCAAAATGTCATTCTATAGCATTAACTCGCCAAACTCTAGCTGTTTTGTCTTTAAATATTACAGTTATCTACATATTTCTATTTGTCTAACAAAAATTCTCACCTCCTAGATAAAGCTATTCCCTTTTAAATATTACTCCCTTTCAACACAAACTTAAGTAATATAAAAATTATATATAAATTATAATTAATCCCAATAACAACTCTTGCTTTACTTAGTCTCATTTATTAACAAATGGTGGTTTATCTCTTTAAAATCAGAATGTATATATGGATAAAGATACCAAGTTACTTCAAAACCTCCCCCCTCAATAAACCCCAGTCAGCGGGCTGATAAGCTGATAGCAAGATAACATTCTCCCTCTCTAACGTTCTCCATATCTCCTATATACAGAGATATATCTCCTCAGTTTATCTGTTATTTACACATACCTTTAAATATTGCACCAATATAATATAGCTACCATTGATACCTTTCATTATTTGACCTTTGTTTATCTGATTTTATGAAGACAAAAGGTGAAAGTAAGCAATCTCTCAATGAAGGAGTTAGTCTCATACCCCCACCCACCTGTTCAATAATGCAAGAAAAATACTTTGTATTTTATAACAGTGACACACTTTCATTAAAAAAAAACTTTTACAATAATAATATGATCATTATACATAATCTAAGGTGTGTAATTAAACATCATTGTAATTATTTCTACAATGTGATTTGTACTTTCCAAAATAGCATTAAAAAGATGATTTTTGTCAATTTTTTCTTCATACATGTAACATCATGTGATATTAAAGAAAGAAATTCCTTTTATGTTGTTGTTTCACATTTAACTCATTCCACTGATTCGCTTGATAACACTTTATTACGAAATCTCACTTTATAATGCTTTAATAGAAAACCTATCATTACAAAGTATTAGTAACTTGGCTCGATATTCAAAGCTGTACACAACAGCAAAATAAACATGATGTTTGTGCCAAGAAAATATGAACAATTCACTTACCTGACATTAAAATATAATTCTTATAAAATCTTTCCTCTTCTCCATCTTTGTGACTTTCAAGGTCAAAACAAACTGGTGGAAGTTCTTGAATTCAGTTCCCATTTTTTCCCCTTTACTGAAGAAGAAAGGCACGTGTAAATTATTCCAATACACAAGATGTTTAACAATGCAGATTTGAATGGAACAAAACTTTGATGAAATAAACCACAGATTACAATACCATGCAGCTTGCAATGTTTATAATGCCCAATCAGAATTAGGATCAATATTGATCATTAACACTGAGGATGCCAAAATGACACAGGTAAAAAATGATTGCCAAATTATAATACAAAATTAACATTTTCAGCCTCTCAGAGACTAAATTGACCCCCATCAAACAACAAGAGGGCCATGATGGCCCTGAGGTCGCTCACCTGTATATAGGCCCCCCCCAACCCCGCCCCCCAACGTTGCATGGCCAATTTAACCCAAGGGCTTTTATTTGCACAAACTTGGTAGACACCCATAAGAAGATGTTTCATGCTAAACATCTAAGCTCTAGCTCATTGTGCTTTTTAAAAGAAGATTTTTTTAAAGTTTTTACTATACACATATAGTTAAAAACAATGACACCCCTGGGGCCGGGCCAGGGCTTTTATTTGAACAAACTTTGTAGACACTTACTAGAAGATGTTTCATGCTTAATATCTTAACTCTAGCTATTTGGGTTTTTTCAAAGAAGATTTTAAGATTTTGCTATACACATATAAAGAAAATCAATGACCCCCGGGGCGGGGCCAATTTTGATCCCAGGTCTTTTATTTGAACAAACTTTGTAGACACTCACTAAAAGATGTTTCATGCTTAATATCTTAACTCTAGCTATTTGGGTTTTTTCAAAGAAGATTTTTTAAGTTTTTGCTATGCACATATAAGGAAAATCAATGACCCCCGGGGCGTTGCCAATTTTGACCCCAGGGCTTTTATTTGAACAAACTTGGTAGACACCTATTAGAACATGTTTGATGCTAAATATCTTAGCCATAGCTCTTTGAGTTCTTTAAAAGAAGATTTTTTAAGTTTTTACTATAAGCATATAGGGAAAATCAATGACCCCCGGGGCGGGGCCAATTTGACCCCAGGGCTTTTATTTGAACAAACTTGGTAGACACTTATTAGAACATGTTTCATGCTAAATATCTTAGCTCTAACTCTTTTGGTTCTTTAAAAGAAGATTTTTTAAAGTTTTTACTATATGTATATAGGGAAAATCAATGACCCCCTGGGGCGGGGCCAATTTTGACCCCAGGGCTTTTATTTGAACAAACTTGGTAGACACCTATTAGAACATGTTTGATGCTCAATATCTTAGCCATAGCTCTTTGAGTTCTTTAAAAGAAGATTTTTTAAGTTTTTACTATATGCATATAGGAAAAATCAATGACCCCCCGGGGCGGGCCCAATTTTGACCCCAGGGCTTTTATTTGAACAAACTTGGTAGACACCCATTAGAACATATTTCATGCTAAATATCTTAGCTCTAGCTCTTTGGGTTCTTTAAAAGAAGATTTTTTAAGTTTTTACTATATGCATATAGGGAAAATCAATGACCCCCCGGGGCGGGGCCAATTTTGACCCCAGGGCTTTTATTTGAACAAACTTGGTAGACACTCACTAGAAGATGTTTCATGCCAAATATCTAAGCTCTAGCTCTTATGGTTTTTTAAAAGAAGTTTTTTCTTTCGGTTGCCATGGCAACCAGAGTTCTGCATGGAATTAAATTCTTTGAACAATTTTTAAAGGTGACCACCAAAGGAACATTCCTGTTAAGTTTGGATGAAATTGGCTTAGTGGTTTATGAGGAGATGTCATTTAAAGTAAAAGTTTACGGACGGACGACGGACGGACGGACGACGGACGGACGCCGCACGATAAGCGATCACAAAAGCTCACCCTTTGTGACAGGTGAGCTAAAAATACAACACTATGTTGGTAGCAACATTTCCAAATGAAATACAGGTCTGAACTGTTTCAAACTTTATCATAATTCACAGCTTGCTTATTTTTAGGCAAATGAAATGGCATTTTATGAAAAACACTATTTATCTTTGTGTGTAATTCTATATTTTGTTCTTGAATTGGGAGTTTTCTCCTTGAAATTTGGAGATAAAAACAAAACTTTTTGGTACTGGGAACATGATCCAATATCGGTCATCAAAATGGGCCAGAAAAAAACCTGGCATCAGTACAAAGATTTTTTATTACATTTATTTATTTCAAATGTGAGGTTATCATAGAATTTTAAGATTCAATTTGGTATTTTTTAGGCCTTTTATAACTCTAATTTGTGCAAAAATATACATTAATTTGCAATATTATGTCAAAATTTTTAATTTACATCCAACAATATATAACTTTGTCACAATGTAATATGTTAGAGCTCTAACTAAGAGCTTTGTTTTGAGAATGCTACAGTGATTACAATGTACAGTGACACTGACTTTATTCTGTTGGCTGCTGAAATCATCTGTTTCAATTTAAAGTGTTGTAAGAGTTACATATCACACAACAGCATCAATATGATACATATTATAGGAATGTGGTCGTTCTTAAATCACAAATTTTAGTAAATCAATGACAAATGCTGCAGCAGTGTTGAATGACAAGCAAAATAAGTGGAATCATATCTTATTATCTTGTATTAGTCATGTACAGTATATGTAAAGAACTGCTGAGACTGTTTTAAGTTTTGTCTCTATAATTAGGTTTATATTTCTATGCAAAATAAGCAGCCAAGTGAAAAAAACTCCTAAAACCATGTTACTGCTATTGCCATACAGTAAAAAATAACAGTTTTGTCTGACTCTCACATAAAACAGTTAACTTGTTGCATCTTATTATTCAGATGATAAATATAAGAATATATCAGGATAAGTATTTAAGTTGGTCAGTAATAAGTGGCTGGCCTACACTCGTCCCATATAATTATAACATTCACTTCCAGCAGCAAGGATACCTAAGATGCCAGGGATTAGAGCCCCTTGTGTGTAGGTATTGTTTGTATTGGCATTTCAAAATTAGTGAATCCTATTTCGGCAATTGTATAAATATTTGTATTTTTTACAGATTTTAACTTTTAGCTTGATATTCTTATAAAAGGAAATTGCTGAAGTTTAAATGACAAAATTTAATCTGGAGTAAGAGTTTTACTTTACCATGCAATCTTTTACAGAGCACTGTACTGTACATTATATTTGCATTTAAATGTGCAGTGTTTTGTTCCAATGCGCAATTTGCTCACTGCGCGTTTCTATCCCGATCTCTGCATCAGTGAAATTATTAGACCCATTTACGGACACAAACTTTGAAGGGTGACTTATCACTGATACAAACTACCTGATTAATTTAATGATTTATCTAATAATTATGAGACTGATTGATAAATGGTTTGGTCTTATTCTCTATAAACCAGCATAAAAACTGAATTCAACTCTCCACAATATTCAGAACTATTGTCATAAAGGGGAGTAATTTAGTATGAATTCAGATAAGAGTTACCCATATTGGCACCAAGGTGACAAACAATTTATACATTGTACATGTATATAACAAGTGAATGCCTAAAAAAAGGTAAATGGAAAATGAAATAGCACCAACATTATTATTTGTAATCAATCAATGTAAGGTAGCAAAGATATATATAGGATAAATATGCTCTGCTCTTCTTTAAAATTGTCAACCTAATCATTATATTGTTGATGATGTAAATGTACAGCATGTTTGTATCCTGATGGACATATCTCATTGATTTGCCATCATAGGCTGAACAAATGTTCACAGTAAATCTGTTAACATGGCTTTATAGAGCAGATGCAAATATTCTGAGCAAACTGTTTAACTGCTGAGCAGATCATGTGCTGCAGAACAGATGATATTAAAATACCTTATTTTCTGCTGAAGTTGCTAACTTGAAAACTTGAAAATCATTTCAACAGTTTCTTCTGACATAATTTATCACATATCATTGGCACTTTTGCGACTCTGTAAAAACAATATTGCACAGCCGTGCATATATTTTGATGTGACGTCATTTGTTTTTATACAAACAAACTGCAAAGATGCGCATTATGTTAGCGTTTACACTATAGGCGTGTCAATGACTTTTTTCCCCTTTAAACATTCTTTATTTTGGGTATGTGATAAATAGAATATTTTACACAAAATGTGACTGTGACCTTGACCCTTTTTTATGTCAAAATGTCCCCTTACCCCTTGAAAACTGTTAACAACCATTCTATTTTCTATTTTACAACTGTGGAATTTCTGTCTATCAATATTTATATAGTTTTATTATCCTCTTAAACTTTTAATTCTGACCTGCTCAATAATCCTTAGTCATAATTATTAAAAGCCAAAAGTTGCTCAAAGACCGGCTTAGAAAGATTAAAAGGTACAAAAATTTCCACCTCAGCTGACTGACTGTTTGTATACAAATATAATAAATTGAATATATAAATGCAAAACATGTTTAACAGTGAATGAAGCTATTGTGATAAAAATAACAGAAATAAATTAAAAGAATCAACTTTGTACATATTTTTGAGGTATTACAAAGTAACAGCATTACAGAAATTCCAGTATTCAGTGGGTAATGACTATCTTCCACTCTCAAAGCAGTTTAGTAGTGCACTGAAATATTTTCATCTTGGCAATATGGTGCAAAAACACTAGCCAAGGGGTTGAAATTAAGATATTATTATAAGATTAAGCTTGAAAATCCTGTTTTCTGTTTGTAAGAACTTTTTATTTATCTTTATGTATTAAAAAAGAAAGACAGACCGGAAATATGAATAATTATCCAGAATTGAAAATTTTCATTGACTGTAAGTTATTAATTCACATAGTTTTTTTACATAGTCATACTGTAATGCCCTTCCCCCCCCCAAAAAAAAATTCTAACATTGGCCACCGGTCATTTCCAAATTCCAGAACGTTATTTTATACACTCTTCAGTATTCAATAATTTTTAACTGTTAATAACCGGAATTTGGTGCATAGCAATAAAGAATAAGTTATTGTAAACAATTTAATGCCCTGAATATTTCACGAAAAAAAAATTAATTTCCAGAATTA